AGGAGGACGTAATTTACAATTAAAAAAAAACATTTCATTAAGGGCAAAATTGACTTTTACACGAAAAACCCAAATGGGTTATTTGACCCGGCTATTTTGGAAAATCCCTCGATTTACGATCACAACTCCGGAAAAAAATAAAAAATCTAGTGAGCCTGACATACGCAACTGCCCCTAAAAATAATGTAATGCGACAGTAATAAAAAAATTGATTTTCAACTTTAATTTAATTCTTCTTGGAACCTAATTTTGAAGCCTATAAATGCATTCCTTCATCCAATAATTAAAAAAGAGCCTCTTAGGATAGGGGCAGAGTCATGAATATTGTCTAGTGCTGACACAATTTAGCCCCTGTTTGCCCCCCATTAATTTAAATTTTTGGGGGGTAGATAATTTTTAGAATAGTGATTGATGGGAGATGTGTGGTTGAAAAGTTTTTGATTTGTGTGTATTATTATTTTATTTGATGAATGTATGGTTGAGATGAAGAGAGAGAAAAAATTAATGTAATGGAATGTAATATAATGGGGGCCAAACAGGGGCTAAATTTAGAGTGTGTTTGGTAGGGATTTTTAGATAGTCTGTACAAAATTTGTGAACCAAAATCTGGTAGAGTAGAATAATTCTTGAGGAGAATAGAAATTTTAGAATAGTGATTGATGTGAGAATGTGTGGTGGAAAAGTGATGAAAAGTTTTTGATTTGTGTGTATTATTATTTTATTTGATGAATAGATGGTTGAGATGAAGAGAGAAAAAAAATTAATGTAATTGAATGTGATATAATGGGGGGCAAACAAGGGCTAATCAAAGTAGAATTTTGATTTTTCAGGGCCTAAAATGAAGTTTAAATTCGAGCTCTTAAATTAAAGTATGCAATATGCATTCAATTTTTTTTAAAGTAATATATAAATTGAAAACTCAGTAAACAAATTAAACACGTCCAAAAATTTTATTTAATGCACAAACAAAGCAATAAATCAATGCACATTCTACCTATGAAACAAAATTATAAACAAATATATCAAGTTTTGATATGCATGCTATTAAATTAACCAAGATTCACACCAATTTCTAGCCTCAAATAAACTTTATTTGAACATTTTACATAACTTTATGCTTTCTTTAGCTATAGTGCAAAGTTTATGGGTCTTAACGCAAATTTCATGTCTAGATAAAATCTTGATTTTATTGAACTTTTCATTTTTGCCATCAGGTTCTCTTTATATGCATATACTGCTGGCACTGCAACCAGTAATGGGCGGTGACTTCTCTCTTTCTCTCTCTACGTATGTACATATATGTATAGCATATATAGACACGAGAAAGGTTTATGGTGCTTCTTGCCTTCTTCTTGTTGGTAATTCTCTCTACATATGTACATCGGCAAACAGTGTGCTTTTTTTTTTTTTTTTGCTCGAGAAAACTTCAGTGTAGACACTTGCCTGCACTGGCCTAGAGGTGGCTCCGCCCCTGCTTGCGGAGAAAATTCATATTCATTACAGAAAAAGAGAGCTCAATGAGGACTCTTGAGGATTCAATTAGACATATCATTCAGGCTAAACGAGAGGGGAAGATTTAAAAACATAAAGATTAGAGAGAAGAATGAAACAAAAATTAAGGAAATTACAACAAGAATGTTGATTCGTGGTGCAAGATCTTCATATTTTTTCCATTTCTCTTGAAACCTGGTGATGTACTCCAATTTCTTCTTGTATTTTTCTTTTTTCTGTGATGTTTAATTAATCAGTGAGTTGGGATGAACAAATATAATCTAGTTTTGAATCTTCATTATTATTATAATACTAAGGGACCTAACTAAAGTTCCCATTTGGACCTGAGATAAGTGAAGGTTCGCTAAATGATCTCGGATTCTCATTCAATATGCATTGAATGAAAGAATTGGTCCATTCCCTGGATAAGGACTTTATAAAAATAAAAGAAATTTTTGAGATATAAAAAAGAAAAAAAGAATTGAGAATGGCTCATTAAAAGGGCGATCGCTATAGGGTGACAAAATGGCTCGCCGATTCAGACCGCCCCTGGCTCGGCCCGAAAAATCCCGAGCCCTATTTTGGGGATAAAGACTCGAGTCTGAGCCAGCCCATGTGGCTCGACAGCTGACCCCGGACGAGCCGAGCCCTAAAAAAATATTATTAATAATTTTGAAAGCAGAAGATAAATAAATAAAATTATCGGCTACAGCTGCCTGCACGTTGCAAGTAGCTATAAATGCAGGCAGTTTGACACGAAAAGAATATAAAAAAAAAAAAAAAAATCGAGTATGCTCGAACCGAAAGCTCTGGTCAAGCCTCAATTTTTTGGCCGAGCTCGGACCTTTTTTGCTTGGG